CACACACACAGCACAGCCGAAATGAGGGTGCGTTGTGATCGGGGAAAGAAGGCAGTGCCCAGAGAGAGTACTACGGCCATTTCAGGACTAAACTGGCCCCGTGTTTGCTTCATATTATTCAGTTCTACTGAACGTAACGCCTGAATGTGGTGATATTCGTCCCGAGATCGTCCGAGAAATGACGCACCAGTCAGTAACAAATCAGTTTATAGCATCACGCCTCAGAGCTCTCTCTCTCTCTCTCTCTCTCTCTCTCTCTCTCTCTCTCTCTCTCTTCCCTTGGGCACTACCTTCTTTCCCCAATCACAGCGCACCCTCATTTTGGCTGTGCTGAGAGAGAGAGAGAGAGAGAGAGAGAGAGAGAGAGAGAGAGAGAGAGCTCTGAGGTGCAATGCTACGAACTGATTTGTTACTGACAGGTAGGTCATTTTTCGGACGATTTCGGGATGAATATCATCACATTCAGCGGCTTTACGTTCAGTAGAACTGAATATGAATCAAACACGTGGCCAGGCTCGTCCGGAAATGGCCGGTACACAGGTACACACACACACACACACACACACACACACAGAGAGAGAGAGAGAGAGAGAGAGAGAGAGAGAGAGAGAGAGAGAGCGCTCTGAGGTGACTGGTACGTCATTTTTTGGACGATTTCGGGATGAATATCATCACATTCAGCGCCTTTACGTTCAGTAGAACTGAATATGAAGCAAACACGTGGCCAGGCTCGTCCGGAAATGGCCGGTACACAGGTACACACACACACACACACACACACACACACACACACACACACACACAGACAGAGAGAGAGAGAGAGAGAGAGAGAGAGAGAGAGAGAGAGAGAGAGAGCTCAGCGGCCATGCTGCATCCACGTCTGGCAGACTGGCAATAAATGCGGTCAGATACATTTATGACGGTGGTAGTGTGAGTACCGCCTGAATGTTACGCATTGATGTGGACAGGTTCATCCAAAATGAACGCAACAGTCACTGTCAGTCAGAACTCTAAGATTCAGTCTGGGGGCCCGAAACTGTGCCCAGACGACACAGGCCAAACACGGCCTGCGCCAGGCAGTGCGACCATGCACTACCCCCTGGAAAGTCAAGGGTCCAAATCAACTGTCAGGTCAAAGGTACCGCGCCCAGGCCCTTGGCCAAACACGGCCTGCGCCAGACAGTGCAACCATGCACTACCCCCTGGAAAGTCAAGGGTCCAAGTCAACTGTAAGGTCAAAGGTACCACGCCCAGGCCCTTGGTCGGATACACTCACTTGCTGTGCGCAGGTACCCAGACAGCATCAAGGCCACAGGGAATTCTGTTTCAGGCCAATCTGGGCCGTCGTTTGCATTGATATCTCGACGGCTGAGGGATGCAGCACCTAGGGTCCAGACCCCGCGTCAATGCTACATAAGCGCTGACCTCTTGGCTTGGAGGACATTCTGTCGTGCGTCAATGCTGACTTCACGCGTTGACGATGACGCTAGCGCGACGCTGCGACGCTGGGCCGTCGCTGGCTGAACGCTGGCTCTATGCTGGCAAGTGGACGGACTACGGCCGACGCTATGGTGGCTCGGCATGGTGGCGGGCTTGCAATTGTCTTCTGGGCATGCCGACGTGGCACCTGCCACGAAAACGTCACAGGCCTACAGGCCCTGTGTCGTTTCAGCCTGAAAGCCTGAAAACAAGGGCATACAGGCCCTGTGTCGTTTCAGGCTAAATCAGGGCCTTTCCGACCCTGAGTGTTTTCAGCCTGAAACTGAGGGCCATTTCCGGGCGCTCATGAGTTCGGCCTGCCCCGAAACTCAGGCACCAGACCAGGGTTTTAGCTCAGGCCATTTCTGGCCTATTTTCAAGACAACCTTTATTTCAGCTTCAACCCCAGGGTCTGGCACGTTGAGGCATTGGCAAGAGCAACCTCCCGGACGGGCCAGCACTATATAGGACTGGCCCGCCCTGCAGGCAGGTAGGTAGTTCATAGGGACTTCCCAGGCACTTCACGTGCAGTTCAGGAGGCAGGAGGTAGTCTTCAGGATTCGGCAGCAGCACTCTGGAGGAGTGCTGCAGGAGTAGTAGCAGTGTTAGCAGTAGTCTTCAGCGTTGGGCGCTTTGTAGTGTTAGCAGTAGTCTTCAGCGCTGGGCGCTAGTAGCAGCTAGAGTAGTACTGGAGAGAGAGAGAGAGATTGGGCGGAGGCCAGGGATACTTACCTGCACCGCCATAGCTTCAGCTTCGTCTTCGAGGTACCTGCAGCACAGCGCCAACTTCACAGGTTAGTACCTGGCACGTGAGAGAAAGAGAGAGAGTTCTTCTTCTTCCTCTTCTCAGTCTACCATCTCCCTCTCACCCTCTCGTTATCCGACTTCACTGCATCAGCACACTATGAGAGAGAGAGAGAGAGAGCTTGGTGACATTTTGGATCCAGACTCGACATTGGACTTCAGACATTTTGACGACTCGGAGGGATTATTTGGGACTTGTAACGAGACTTGGTGTTGACGACTTTCCCATCTCCCGCCTCCTCTTCGTCTGATCCCCTCCTCTTCGTCTGTCATGTCTGGACCTGGCGCCCTCTTCCTGTGTATAGCGTCAGGCCCCTTTACACCGTGTGGTGAGAATGATGTATGTTTGGTCTGCTTTGCAACATTGATTGGGCTAGTCATTAGTATTCTAGTATTCTGCTGCGCAATCTGCGTGATAGAGGTCAGTCCCGGTCAGGTCAGGATTTGTATCTAAGTCTTCCTTGTGCTATAAAGCACTATTTTGTATGTATCGGCTATGTGTCCATTCAACGTGCTACGGAAAAGTTTCAACTCCGTTGTACCCGTTGAATAGCCCTTGGGCCCCAGTTGAATCCCCGTTGAATAGTACAACGGGCCCTCCCCGTTGAATACTGTTCAACGGGGAGGGCACATCAGGCCTCGGACACATCGCTGAGTGCGCGTGGAGTAAAAAAAAAAAATCACCCCGTTGAATCCCCGTTGAATCCCCGTTGAATTCCCGTTGAATCCCGTTGAATCCTGTTGAATTCGAGTTGAATTCGAGTTGAATCCTGTTGATTTTTTATTTTTTTTATTTTATTTTTTTCCAAAACCTCTAACCACGAAGTCCAGGGGTCTGGTCCCACTCAACGGTGTGACGCCATTTCGACATTAATAAATGAGAGAGAGAGAGAGAGAGAGAGAGAGAGAGAGAGAGAGAGAGAGAGAGAGAGAGAGAGAGGGCGTCAGCCAGTGTCTGACGCCAAGTTTGGTGCACCAAACTCGGCATCAAACACTCGATGATGCCCTCTTTCTCTCTCTCTCTCTCTCTCTCCCTCTCTCGCGCAACGTTGAAATCAGAATGAATCTTCCGCGTTATTGCGGAAGATTTATTCTGATTTGAACGTTGGGAGCTCTCTCTCTCTCAACGTTGAAATCAGAATGAATCTTCTGCGATAACGCGGAAGATTCATTTTGATTTCAACGTTGGGAGAGAGAGAGAGAGAGAGAGAGGGCGCCAGTCAGTGTCTGACGCCGAGTTTGGTGCACCAAACTCGGAGTCAGACACTGGCTAATGCCCTCTCTCTCTCTCTCTCTCTTTCTCTCTCTCTCTCTCTCTCTCTCTCTCTCTCTCTCTCTCTCTCTCTCACGAGAATGAATCTTCCTCTTTACATTCTCGTTGGGCATGTATGATTTCGGCTGTTTTTTTTTGCAGAAAGTGGTATGTTTTTTTTATGCACTACCGGTTTTCCGAGGCTCAGGAATGATCAGGCTACTTGTAGTCCGAGCCTCGGACTTGATAGATGGGCGAGGCACTGGTGGTTGAAGGAGAGGAGGAGGGGAACCAAGATCTCCTTACTTTTTCGGGTAATACATGTAGGAAAAAAAAATTAAAAAATCGATGTGTTTTGAGTCTGGTGAGGTTTTTGATTTTTTAAAAATAATTTAAATGCTCAAAAAATAAAAATAAAAATATGGGGATGTCAAGCACAAAACAATCTACACCTCTATGTTTTTTATATATTTTTTTATTATTTCTTGCCACTGAAAAAAAAAATGGCGGGTCGAGTTGAACCCCGTTCTAACACGGTTTAGCGCGGAGTTGTAACGGGGGCTCAACGAGAGTTGAACCGTTCAACGGGAAACCCCCGTTGAATCCAATTTCGGACACATAGTGTATCGGAATGCACATTGCTTGTTGAGATTCTAGTTGCACTGCATTGTCCATTCAGTCCTTTTTATCACATTGTGGATCTATGTAACCGGCTGAACGCGCTGAACGCGCGTTCATACCCCCCTGGGCCGCGTTCAATCGCGTTCAGACGCGCTGCGCGCCACGTGGTGCAATAAAATTGAACGCGACCCCGGGGGGCGGGCGCGCGCGTTGCGGACTACGGGGTGGTGGGCCTCGTTCAGCGAACCCCGAAAGTGCAAAAAAACCCTCCCCGAGAGGCCTACCCCCCCTACCGCGTCACCCCCCGCCATATGTGAAGAGTCCTTTTTTTTTGGGGGGGGGGGGGGAATCCCCCTAATACGGCTCAAACGGCCTGTGGAGGCTATCTGAAGGGTCCTCGCAGCCATGTAGCGCAGACCCCCCCACCGAAATGAAGGAAGCCAGTGAATATGAAGTAGAGCACGAGCTGGCCGAATATATACTCAAGATTCAAATTCAGGTTTGTGTTTCAGCAGTTATGGGTTGCTCACGTAGCTAGACCCTGCACGTGATTCTCAGGGCTTGGCTGCACTACTCACCAAATGTGCAAAACTAGAATGAATCTTCTGCAGAACATGGAATAATTCGCCGCCATATTTTTTATCTTTTGCGCATGTGGTGAGTAGATGCCCTTAGGGCCACTACACATATTCCCAAGAAAAGAAAAACAAGAAAAAAAGAAAAACGATAAAAAAGAAAAATGAGAAAAAAGAAAAACAAGAAAAGAAAAAAAACGAGAATTTTTTCTCGTTTTTCTTTTCTTAGGAATACGTGCAGTGACCCTAAGGGCCTCTACTCACCACATGCACATAAAACAAAACATATGGCGGCGTATTATTCCATGTTCTACAGAAGATTCATTCTAGTTTTGCACATTTGGTGAGTAGTGCAGCCAAACCCTGAGAATCACGTGCAGGGCCTAGCTATGTGAGCAACCCATAACTGCTGAAACACAGACCTGAATTCGAATCTTGAGTATATATTCGGCCAGCTCGTGCTCTACTTCATATTCATTGTCTG